GTGTTTTTTGTGTTCATCTATTTGGTAATTTAATTTCCATTTGTATGGATTTGGTGCCTTTACAACTTGAAGTTGTTGTACTAAAGTGACATTTGATTTGTTGTCTTGGATGACTAGGTATGGTGAAAATTGTTGTTGTTTTGGAAAAAAAAAAGTATATGTTATATAATTAAATAACTAGTCAATACCATATAAATTATAGCAAAATAATTATAAGATAGAAGAAGTCCATACAAGTTATTGCTAGTGAACTTTGAAATTGGTTATAATTATATTAATTGTTCATGATTTAAGAGATTAATTGAGGTATCACACTTACGGTTTCACATTTGAGAATGTTCCACTATTGAAATTTTATTTGCTTGAATTGGAATACTAATTGAGTGCACTAATTTTTTGTGCCACAAACAAAGGTGATAAGATTGTTTTAAAGAGGAATGAAGTTAAGTAATATCAAGAGCAAGTCGATGAAAAAAAGAAAAACGACAACTAAGGATAAGAAAGATGATATAAGAAGTTACTTCTCATGGAATTTGAAAATGGAATGTATTTTAGGTGATGCATTTAGAGATCAAAGGAGTTTGGACAATAAAAGTTTCGAAAGTAGTAACATACATACTACAACTCAAGTTTTGTCTAAATGCTTCAAAGTTCACATAGGAGATAATGTCAATAATTATTATAAACTTTTGAAAATATTGTATGAAATTGCTAGTAACATATTTAGTTAATGTGAATTTGATTGAACATGAAGTACATGATTACGGTTGAAAACCAAAATGCTTTATCCAAAATAAAAGAAAAATAAGAATGAAGAAATTTTAATTGAAGCAATTGAAATTTTGAAAATTTAAATTTTTTACCAAAACACAACCTAAGAGATAAAAAGGTAATTTATTTTACATTTTAACATATGAAAGAGAGATAATGTAATACACAGTAATATTTATATTTCTAAAGAGAGAGGAAGAGAATGTAATTTATGTTAATGATGTTAAATTAAATAAATTGAATTTTATATTTTAACATAAGAGAAAAATGTAGTACAATACATTTAAATCTCATAGATGATTAGATGAGCAATGCAATTTACTAATTAAATAAATATAATATGAGATATAAATAATATAATTAAGTTAATCTAATGATCTAATCCAATCTAATTCTTAGCTTATTGAATTAATTAATTACGCAAGTCAAATTTTGTCGATAACTTTAATTTAACCCATTTAAAATTAATTAATATGAATTTATCTTATTTTTAATAAGATTTATATTAAATATAAATAAATAATATTAAGATAAAATTTTAATATTGGTTAGATAAATACTAACTAAACTTTAAAAATTGTATCTAAGATTTTTTCTTTTTGCATTTCCATTTAAAAATCTAACTCCTTGACCTTATTATTGGTATGTGTAACACGAAATGATCTAGAAGGCTAACTCATTTTTTATTTTTATATTTTTTAACTTTAATAAAGCGTTAGAATTCTCTTATACTTTTTTGATAAGCAGTGTAAACTAATTCTTTACTCTTAAAAAATTTGACTCGAGTTTCGCTCTGACGCGTATGAGCTCTTTGGATTCAACTAGCTTAGTATCAAACAAAACTAAAACCCGTTTGTTTGTAGTAATTTTTTATAAATATTTTCAATTTTAAACACATGTTTAGAAATCTATAATGATTAAATACTTTTTGAAATAGAAAACCTTAAACCTTTTATTTGAATGTTTATTCTCCACCAAAATATAATAATTTCTAAAATTGTTATGATATGTTTTTTTTAATGATAATTAATAGTGACAGTGACTATAATAATAATAATCATAATCATAAAAATTAAATGAAAGTTGAAATTAATATTAATTAAATTTTTTAATTAAGTAAAAATACATAAATAATTTGGTATCGAAGTATTAGGATCAATTGTTACTTATTAATAATTTTTTAATTTTGACCCATGTATAGTTATATGGTCCATATTTATAATTTTCATGCCTATAATAAGCCAATTTCTGATTTGATACGAATAATAACAAATTTCTTTTTATAATTTTTTATAAAAAGTAAATTTTATGAATTTACCACACTATTAAATTGTGAGATATTATTTTAATGATCATATATATATATATATATATGATTTAAATATTTATAAATGTGTAACTTAAAATAAATATTTGTTTATAAATATCATATTCTGCCTTAATACAGCATAATGAGATGAAATATTGATTAACTTTTTAATTTATATAATATTTTGTAAAAATTTTTCTTTTTTAATTGAATGATTGGATTGATATTTTTTTTATAAATTATTATTAAATATCTCATTTAATAAAATTTGGTAAATTTGACACTTTTTTTCACACTTAGGTAATGTTTATTTCAATATATACTCTATTAGGTTACCAGGAATGATACTTATTGAAATAGCAAAATTAAGAATTTTTTTAATGAATTCAAAATGTTAGACTAGATTTTAATATTTTTCAAAAATGAAATAATGAGGGAAGAGTGGAAATGAAAATGGAAGTTAGTACTTAGGTTAAAAAACACGGGTAAGAAGCTTCTATTTAATTATTTTGAGAAAACACAAAAAATATTTTTACTTTTTCATGTACAATTAAATATTTAAAATGAAGAAGAAAAAAATAAAACAGATTGAAATTAAGAAAGTAATAATTTATCAAAAAAAAAAAAAAAAGTAAAGAGTGCAACTTTAACTAGTATTTTTTTTTTGAAAAAAAGTTAGCTAGCTTATAGCTGTTGGTATTTTATTCTTTTTTACCCTTAAAATATATATATATAATTTTATTTTTACATTTTTTTAATTTATACATAAAGTGGGTTTTTTTCCCTCTTGTTAACAATAAGGTTATACATTATTTTATATATA